CTCTCTCTCTCTCTCTCTCTCTCTCTCTCTCTCTCTCTCTCTCTCGTACACGTTCGCTCTTTCTCTCGCCACCCGGAAGCTTCAGCGAAATCGAACGTACACGTCGGAACAACGCGCGCGAACCACGTAAAATTCCATTCACCGTTTCTTGTCGTGGCTGCTGGTCGCGATCAGTAGACCGTTTCCCGGAGATGGATCGACCCTCTCGACGGCTCCCGGCTTGATACTAGCCTGGCGAGACGAAGCGATGCTCGGTCGAGACGCTCGCTGCCGACGACGATGGTGCGACGCCCCCGGCATGACGCCGACGCCGACGACGACGTCGACGCCGACGCCTCGCGCCGTTCCTCTGCGCAGCCGCGCGTCGAGGGAGAAGACCGGAGGAGGAAGAGAGGGTTACGGTGATGCGAGAGGGTTGTTCTTCGTCGGTGCCTGTCTGTCTGTCCGTTGTTGTATAACGCTAGGAGTCTAGGACGCAGGTGAGGGCGCGGAGAGATGAAGGAACGTGGTGGTGCGTACCTATTGGGTTGGGGAAGGGGTTGCGCTCTCAGATTTGCTCCTCCAGCGAGAACATTAGCGACGAGAAGCGCGGAAAAATTGTTGAACAACCCTTCGATCTGAAAGCGAAAGAAATTCTTAATGAGCGAAGCGCGTTCCTAGAATCGTTGATCCATCTGAGAAACGTTTTATGGATCATCGGTCGATACCGACAAAGTGATTAATGGAGAAATGCAATCATGAAACTTTCGTATTGTAAATTTATTTGATCACGTCGAATATCTAATTTTTAATATTTTTATCAAAAAGAGAGTTATGTGAAAGTTTTTGGAAAAAGACATTTTATATATTTGTTTTTTATATTTTGTGTTTGTTTTTTTTTTCTTCTTTTTTTTTCGGAAATAGAAAACAATGTTTTTTTGCTGTCTTCCATTAAGAGATGTGAAATACGGAAGAGAAAGAGAGAGATAACTATGTTAAAACAGTATTGTATAAATACAATTATTATTCAGAGTTTTCCATACACGTATATCCATTTATAAAATGAATGAGAAACATTATAGATAAAACAACTATTTTGTTGAAAGAATACCGTGATATTTCCTGCTTTACTGACTTTATTTGTGCTTTATTTTAATGTAACTCGAATATACAACAGGTTTCGAAAATACGAGCAGAATAGTGAAAAGTTTTTGATGATCTAATATTATTCTAATAATATATCTTTATAATTGAATCTCATGAGAATAAATAAAACTCATAGAAACATAAAACTATGAATTCGGAACACATTAGTCCTTGATTTACACTATTATTGTAATTCAATATTTAACGAAACGAAAAAATTGGATCGCTCGCGTCGATTAAGTAAGTGAAAGATGGAATGGCATGACGGAAGCGAAAAGAGGATGGGTGGCGGTGCGGGAAATTCGGCTGCCAAAATAAAAGAAATAGTGACTGAACAAGAAGATGTTGCGCGAAGGTACCTCGTAAAGGTGGTTCCCCGAACCGAGTGGTAGAGAGATAGGTATAGATGTCAATCGAAAGGTGAAAAAGCGCGCGACTCAATGCTGAGAAAGCATCGTGTGTCTGTTCAGCAGAAAGCGTCGATTCGTAAGGACGATACAACACGAATCGGGAGATGGTGAATGGCGATTTCGTCTGGTCAGAAATTCGAGGAGCCGTCGAGTGCTTTCGACGTCGACCCGAGTTTGCGATTTTTCCATTGCGTTGCGAAAACTGAGCTCGTATAAAATGTACAGTTTGCGCGTTTATTACCAATCTTGCGAAATGTATCTAATAACGTTGTGAAAAATAAGGATGTATGACAATCATAAGTGGAAATTACATTGATAAGAATAAATCAGATAAAAGAAAGAATTCTATATTTGATCAAAGCCGAGCTTAATAATGTTCATATGTAAATTTACGAATACATTTTTTAATTCCTTGAACTGCATTGATTCAGTTTGTCAGACTTGAAATCATAAATTGAAGCTAAAAATATACAAATTATATTGATCGTCAATTCAATAACGATACTAATAAGCATCTTAAAACACTACAAAGAACTTGTTGCGAAAAATATCATTTCAACCAGAGTTTGAATCTGGAACTCCCGACTTCTTCCAAACGTTTTATCAATTCATTCGTTATCATTTGTGATATTTTTTGTAATAAATTTTTTGCTGTGCTTTAAGATATTTATTAGCTTTATTATTAAATTGACGATTATTAGTTGTAATATTATTTCCAGTTTCTCAATTTATGATCACATTTCAGGTTCGACAAATCGAATCAGAGCGCAGTTTATAGAAGTGAAAAATAGATTTGCTTTGCATACGAATATTATTAAGCATCAAAATTCACTTTGACCAAAGAAAAAATGTATAACCGTAATTGTCTCGATATCCTTCGTCGATCTTTCCTTTTCAAGAAGCTTTCTTAGTTAATTAATACTGCAAATAGATTAGTAATGCTACTACTATCATTTAGACTCGCAGAGAATCAATGAGAGTGAAAATTATACCGCATCCTTAGAAGGAGAGAAAATAGATCATATATCAATTATGACAGTTGATTATCATTAACGCTAATTTAATGCTCGTATGCGATATCCTCGAGATAATAGCTCCCATTAGTCCGTGTCGTTCAGTATAATTAACACTTTGAGTCCAGTGGGGGTACACTGCAAATCCCATCGTGATGTTAAACGCTCTCCGGATTCGAAGTATAAACCAACGTAGGATACCCATATATTAATATTGCATCTGTATAAATCGGGAATGCAGTGTATCGAGAAGTATCGAGGACCGATACATTTATCGTCGGGTTGTTTTTGCTGACAAAAATGATAAAAATCACACACATAAATATCATTTATCTCCAAGCTCGCCGTAATTCTTTTAAAATCACTCATCGACCTAATCGATGTATCGTTATTATTGACTTGTCGACGATGTATTAGCCCCGCGAGAATAATTATATTGTTAGATCAAGACGGCATGGACCCTTAAGTCATCTACACGTAAGATGAATCGTTCCACACGCGTCTCTTTCCCTTGTTTCTCGTTAGTATTTTATCCGTCGGACAGTGTCCACCATATTGATGGATCGCAGTAAACCCTTCCCTAAATCCTGTCCAAGTAGGTCGATCCAACGGATGTGTTTACCTGATAGCTCGCGGTACTTTGGAAAACGCTGCAAGACAGAAAGACCGCTCAGGCTCGAGTTGCAAAAGTTTTCGTCGAATGTACACCGACATCCCCGGGCCGTCTCGCATTGGAAAATATGTCCCGATTGTGACTCCCGAGTTTCGTCCGTTGTGCTAGTACCGGGTGGTCAGATAGAAATGTCAGATTCGTTCAGGCAAGGCATATAGA